GGAGCGCTCCCACTGCTTGCGGTGAGTTGCCGGCATGCCGAAGCCTGCGCGCGCTGAGATCAGCGCGCCCAGGCTTCGCGGCCCCCCCGCCCGGCATCGGAGCTTGGTTCCGATGCCGGGCGGCGGGAGGAGGCGTTCCCGCCCCGCCGCCCGGCATCGGAGCTTTGGTCCGAAGCCCGGCGGCGGGAGGAGGTCCGAGGACAGTGGGGAAGACGCGCTGCGCTTCCCCGCTGTCCCGGAGATTTCCCTATGGGCTTTCGTCTTGCGAAGCAAGCCCATAGGGAAATTCGTTTTGCGAAGCGCCTCCAAAACGGAAAACCCTTTCGTCTAGCGGGTTTTCCGTCTTGCGAGGCGTTCGTCTTGCGGGGTACCACTGTATCAGATGTGGTGGTTAATCTGGATTTGGACATAGCACATTATAGAAATTCCTATGCTGACTAAGTATTTTATTTTGGACATAATTCAAAGGGAAAGCCTGCATTTTTCACCCTTCCTTCTTTTTTAGAGAAAAGGAGTAAGAACCTTATACCTGCAACATAAACACCCCCCCCCACTTTTCTGGAGTGTTTTATCATCCTAAAAAGCTGAACACTGCTGCCAGTTTCTGAAACTTGTTAAATATTGCCCAACTCTCACCACATCTCTACTGCCTTATCAAGGAAATGCAAACACCAAGATGGGCACAGAGCGGTCGGTGCAGGAGCAGGTGAGGAGGCTGCAGAATTGGGTCCCTCCACAGGGTGTTTCTTCCAAGCATTTACCAAGGGGGAACGATCAGATTTGAGAATAAAGTCACAACTCCAGACCTTTTCCTCATGCTTTCAACATTCCAGAAGAGGCCTCCCAAATTTCTCCTTCTTTTCTTTGTGAAATATTATGCCTTTGGGGCTGTGATCCAGCCAAGCCTGATTTCAATGCGAGAGAGTTGAGCACATGCGTAAAGGTGAGAAACTGTGGCTTAGGGCTGACAGGTATCTAAGGGAAGGAGGGAGCCACCCTGATGTACCTGCCCTTTGGCCTTGCACAACACTTCTGTGTGTAACTATCAGCATGTGATCCTTCAGCAGCAAGGAGATGAACTTCCGTCACCTGCCAGAGTTTGCACACCCAGCTGCTGGGAAAGGCACAGACTGGCTGGAATGCTCAAACGCCTGCTGTGTCCTACCTGCCCCCAGCTCACAGCAATCTCTGGCCAATAAAGGGATAAGCAAAGGGCCCTGCGAGTGATTCTCTTAATTGCACAGCTATTTTCCTTTCTCCTTCAGATGACCTGGAAATCTTCAAAACGTTTGCTGCCAATCTGTACAAAGTTCAAAGATACTTTCTATTTTAGCAATTATACTCTGATGCAAGGAATAGCAACGTGCTGGTGGTAAGATGAGAGAACTACTTTAGGGGTTCGATAAGATAATGCCTTTCTGCTTATCCGTTTGTTTGTGCATAAGCATGGAAAGAATTTGCTATGATATCCTTTGCTTCTATGGCAAGCTTGTTTGCAACATGGATTTTTTTAAGGCAGAGGACTTAGCTGGATATATGGAAAAAACAACGAAGAATCTTGTGGTCCCTTAAAGACTAACAACTTTATCACAGCATAAGATTTTGTGGGCTACAGTCCACTTCATCAGAGATATGAAGAAGTATCCTCAGTTTCAGGTACTTGATGGTTAGAGGAGGTAAACTGTCAGATCCAAAGTAAGTATGGGTGGTGGTAATTTACATTGTTTGCAGAAAAGCGGGGCTGATAGCACAGACATCCTGGCACTGATAAACCAACTAACTCATGTAGTGTGATAAAAATCCATTCTGCTGATTCAATCCACAAGTTATAGCAGCTGGTGTACCAGATGGAGCTGGTAGAAAGTTTCCCTGGTCACAGAATTGACCCGTGCCTCCATGGTCAGTTGTGAGTCCAAAATGACTCCCAGGCTGTGCACCTGGTCTTTCAGGGGCACGCTTACCCTGTTCAGGACCAGGGAGTCCCCACACCTGCCTGCCCCCTGTCCCCCAAAAACAGTTGGACTAGGTGATCCTCAGGGTCCCATCCAACTATGATTCTATTCTATTCTATTCTATTCTATTCTATTCTATTCTATTCTATTCTATTCTATTCTGTGCAACCCTTGAGATTCATTCACCTGATCAGCTTCCAATGATATGCCATCATCTGCCAAAATGGCACATCTGAATTCTCTTATAAGACAAACAGGCTTTTCTCTACACAACACTACTCTAAAATGGCAACATGGCAATATAGAAAAAACAGGAAGAGGCCATTTTAGCTTCCAATGACACTGCAACCAACATAACATGAATACGGGAACTTCAAAAGAAGACTGCAGTGTTGTTAAGTGCTGTCTTTTCTGGACTGAAACTGCAGAATTGATTTTTTAATTTAAAAAAATCATTTTTTTAAAAAATTGTTTTACCAAAGCCAGGATGTATGTTGTGTGTGTCTGTATGAAAGGCCCGGTTAATAAGATAATTATCAGCAGCATACTTTTCTGCATTTTGTTTTCTTTTGACTTCACTGTTTACAATCCTTTCCCCATCCTGCATTCACATATGCACGCACACACCTGCAACATAGGATAGCATTTCATACATGTGACCAGGTAGATTGCAGTCCTTTAAAGCTTATCCCCTAACAGATGTTAAAGTGCCACAAGACTCTTTGGGTTGCAGTCAATGCTGCATGTTTTGAGTGGTGTTCTGCTCATGCAGTGTCATTTCCCCTTCCTTCACACTCCCAGTATCTGCTCCAAAGGGTCTCACAGACCCCTCAGGCAGATTCTGAGGGTGCACAGGAGGAGAGGGGGGAGTTTGGTTGTGCAAGTGGAAGTCTGTTGTGTGAGTGGAATGGATACAACCCACTGATGTTTTTCTTTCAAGAGCTTCTGGAAACTGGATATACAGGTTTATTATGTCCTTAGAATATAGGAAGAACATGAAAACAATCTAGTTTTATTTTGAGAAGCCTTCTGCTTCCTAGTACATTAATGCCTGAATACTAAATATGTTAGCTTGAGTCTAGCTGCAGCCAGGCCCTATGCAATCAGTGATTCAAGAGAGTGGATTGGGCTGCACATTTCCTTTTGCTCTCAAGGCAGATAGGAATGTACATCCCCATCCCAAATGTGCAGCGCAAATACAGATTTCATGAGGTGTCGCTCACCCAGATTCCCAAGCTTGCTACAGAGGAACACTTTTGCTGAACTGCAGCAACTATACAACTATATATGTAATGTGCTTGGGGCTGTCTTTTCTTGCACAGTATTACAGATGACATGATAACATAAGAAGATTTCGCTAGATCAGGCCAAAGGCCTATCTAGTTCAGCATCCTCTTCTCACAAGGCCCAAGAAGATGCCGCTGTAAGCAGAACCTGAGCAACATGTTCAGCTCAAATAAGTTACAGATAGGTAGCCGTGTTGGTCTGCCATAGTCAAAACAAAAAAAAATCCTTCCAGTAGCACCTTAAAGACCAACTAAGTTAGTTCTTGGTATGAGCTTTCGTGTGCACGCACACTTCTTCAGATACCAGATATCTGAAGAGGTGTGCATGCACACGAAAGCTCATACCAAGAACTAACTTAGTTGGTCTTTAAGGTGCTACTGGAAGGAATTTTTTTTTTTTGTTTTAGCTCAAATAAGATTATTGCCATTCTCTGCACTACTGGAGGTTGAACCATCCTGCTGCATCCAAGTCCCCCAGCTTAGCTGGCTAAAGACAAGCCCTCAAGCCAGGGACCCTCTTATTTCCCCCAGCCCTTTGGCTTGCATGTCAATGCCTTTTTTAGATTGTAGAAAGTCTACTAGCAAGGATTGTCCATCTCATTATGGCTCTCAAGTGGCTGGCCTGCTTTTATGCACTTCTCTTCCGATGCATGTGTGTTGTTCACATTTCAACAATTCTGCTGGATTTCCCCCCAAGAAACTGTGCAACCCTACACACGTCTACTGAGAAGTGAATACCATTGTGCTCAGTGGTGTTTACTCCCAAGTAAATGTGCAGACTCCCAAGTAAATGTGTAGCCTGCCAACCTAGCAGTTCGAAAGCACCCCCAGGTGCAAGTAGATAAATAGGGACCGCTTTCTAGCGGGAAGGTAAACGGCGTTTCCGTGTGCTGCGCTGGTGCTGGCTCGCCAGAGCAGTGATGTCACGCTGGCCACGTGACCCAGAAGTGTCTCCGGACAGCGCTGGCCCCCGGCCTCTTGAGTGAGATGGGCGCACAACCCCAGAGTCTGGCAAGACTGGCCCGTACGGGCAGGGGTACCTTTACCTTTACCTTTAAATGTGCAGAAGATTGTAGTCTACATATTTTAGGAATGAATTGTAATTATAAATCAATGTTACATTCCCTAATACAGTAACATATTCTGATTTTCCCCTTTGCTGATTGTATCTTTCTTTCTGTAAACCATTAATACTCTGTTATAATCCAGTCCTGGAAACACCGCTGTGGAAGTAAAGCTATAATTTCTGCAGAACTTGTTCTTAGGAATCAGTCAAATCCTATACAGTACACATCTCCCAAAACAAAAAAGCCCCAATCTCACACATACTTCCTTCAGAGTAGGTGCCACTGAACCCAGTGAGGCTTGCTTTGAGTAAACACGCATAAGATCCAGCTGTTAGTTTGATGGGGCTTCTCCCAAGTACATATGCATAGGTCTACAAATAGTACCATGGTTAAGGCTGAAGCCCTAAAATGCTTTGGGCTCACAGAATCATAGCTTCAGACATAATTCACACAGAGCAATAATTGCAACCATTCTGAAACAGGATGGCCGTCAGCAGCCACACTCCGCAGAAACAGGGGAGAACATCAGGGAATAAAGCTGCAGTGAGATCCATAGGTAAAAACCGGCAACAAAGTTATATGCACTGAGATCCACCGCTAAAGTGAGAGCTGCACAAACCTACAGCAATAAGACACAAGGAGATTGCCTCAGTGGCAGAGCTTGAGGGAAGTTAAGCCACATAAATATAACTAACCTTAGTATACTGAATCTTCAGATCCTTGAGGGGCTCTGGCAAAGCCGGGGCAGTTGACATGTTTGGACTAGTTCCTGAAACACAGGTGAAAGGAGGTTGTAAGAAAAGTTCAGTGATATTTGCCCTGACTGAGCACTTCGATATAATTGTGCCTTTTTATCTGAACTGGCTATAGTATATTTGCATGCAAGAGTATGATTGGACGAACAACTGCACAGCACAGAGAGAAGGGGGGGGGGACTACAGCTAATGTGCAACACCTAGAAAAGCAAGCTGTGTACTTGGGTGCAAAAGTCCATATGAGGTCGTGGCATTCTCTATGTGTGCAAATAGCAGCCTGCTCCTTTTCACCTGCAAGAATAACATATACTCAGAAACATCAGTATAGATAACCTAAAAAGAGTTCTGAAGACATTTCAGTGCTTTGGAAATTTACACAAATATAAACTGTATGTTTTTGTTTTTTTTAAATAGTTCCTGTCTTTCTAGCAGTGACAAGACAGGCGAAAATCCAACAGGTTCAGCTTTTCCTGGCAGGAATTGCTGTGATAATATTGAAAAGAGTGTTTAATTTGAATATGTCAAATCAATGCATTTTTAATAACTCTTGGAAACATTCTAGGAAGCAGGAAACCATGCTGGATTTTGCAGCAAAACCAACTAAGTGCCTTGCAGCACTTTTAAAACAATCAGATTTTGTGGTTCATCAATAATATCTTCAGGATGTATTATTCTTAGTTAGATATACAAGCGTGTGCATTCCAGAGTGCAATGCTATGACTGCAGTGTCAGAGCCCACTGTGTGCACCTGGCCTGGCTCCAACCTTTAGGTAGTACTGCCATCACCCTGCTTCTAAACTTCCAGGCTAGTGGGTTGCAAACACACAGTCTTCAGGCTCTTATTGTAGGAACTGGGAAATCTCCAATTGGCACTAGAAGAAAGATTCAGACCATCTTCTCCAGGTTTCCTGTTTGCCAAGATCTTGGAGCACATGACTGGAGCTAGGCTGCAAGTTAGGTATGGGCAGCATATTTGGTTTAGTTTAGATTCTTGTGAGACCCAACCTAATTCACAGTTCCTGCTGAAACAAGATATGAACTGAAGCAGGTATACTTTCTGAAATTTTGTGAAACTATTCTTCTAGCAAATAATAAGCACAAAAATGTGTGCATAGAAAAGTATAAATGTATTATTATTGAAAATAATGCCATATATAATAAAATAAAACATAACATATAAAATGCATTGTATAAGAGGAAATTGCTTGCAAAATAGCATACAAAAATGGATATGTATTAGGAAAAAAATCACACTGAAACACTGATAAATTTTCATTTTTATCATTTATTAAATTAATATTAAATTCCAAAGATCACAGGGTGGTTCACACAGCATAAACATACAAAATGAAAACACGAAATACATAATAAAACAAAAACAAACCAATAACCCCCACCCCACAAACATATTTAAAAGGCTATACTGTATAATGTTTATTCAGCCCAAGGCCTGGTTATAGAGAAATGTTTTCACTGGGCACCTAAAGATCTGTAATGAAGGCGTCAGGCAGCCCCCCTGAGGAGAGCATTCCATAAACAGGGGGCCACTGCTAAAAATGCCTGTTCTTATGTTTCCACCCTCCGAGCTGCTCATGGAGGGGTCACACAAAGAAGGTCCTCAGATGGGCTGGTCCTTCAGGTATTGTGGTTCTGAGCCATTTAATACTTTACAGGTCAAAACCAGCACTTTGAATTGGGCCTGGAAATTAATTGGCAGCCAATGCAGTCATTGGCAATATATGCTCAAACCATCTTGCCCTGGTGAGCAACCTGTCTAATGAATTCTTACACCAGCTGAAGTTTCCAAACAGTCTGTAACACTTTGTATAACACTTTGCAGTACAGTGGTACCTCGGGTTAAGTACTTAATTCGTTCTGGAGGTCTGTTCTTAACTTGAAACTGTTCTTAACCTGAAGCACCACTTTAGCTAATGGGGCCTCCCGCTGCCGCCGCGCCACCGGAGCATGATTTCTGTTCTCATCCTGAAGCAAAGTTCTTAACCCGAGGTACTATTTCTGGGATAGCGGAGTCTGTAACCTGAAGCGTATGTAACCTGAAGCGTATGTAACCCAAGGTACCACTGTAATATAACCTAGAGGTGACCAGAACATAGACAGCAGAACTTAGGCTATCCCTGTCCAAATAGTGGCACAGCTGGGCCACCAACTGAAGCTGATGGAAGGCACTCCATGCCACCAAGACTACCTGAGCCTCAAGTGACAGCAAAGGATCCAGGAGTACTCCCAAGCTCCATACCCACTCCTTCAGAGGAAGTGTAACCCCATCAAGAGCAGGCAGCCTCCCAGCCATCCGGTCTAGGGAGCCACCACTAACAGAGCCTCAGTCTTATCTGGATTGAGCTTCAGTTCGTTGGCTCTCATCTAGTCCATTACTGAGGCAAGACAATAATCCAGCACTTCCACTGCCTCAGCTGCAGATGTAAAGGAGAAGTAGAGCTGCATGTTGTCAGCAACCTCCTCCAAACTCTGTTTCAGGTTAAACATCATAGGGGATAAAATTAAACCCTGGGGAACTCCATGCTGAGGATTCCACAGAGCTGAAGAGCATTATTCAAGCATCACCATTCATGTAGGACCAGAACCACCACAAAGCAGTGCCAGAAGGATGCTATGGTCGATGGTAGGGTGGATCTACACACAGGGAAAACACCCCCACTATAAATAAGTCAGAAGTTAAATCATTATAACAAAAGAAAAAATGCTATGTAAAATTTGCATAGATTTTTTTCTCTCTCTGGTGCCATCTGGTGTTGCATGTTTATAACAAATTCAAAACACTGTTTTTGGACTAATGTAGCTGAGTCCTTAGATTTTTCTGAATCCATGGAGGACTTCTTAAGGAGTGGTCTTACCACTGCCTCCTTCAAGCAGGCAGGGACCACCCCCTCTTGTAAAGAGGCATTAACCACCTCCCTGGCCCAGCCAGCTGTTCCCTCCCTGCTGGTTTTTATCAGCCAAGAGAGGTCCGGGTCCGGAGTGCAAGTCCCAACTGATCCAAACACATTGTCCATGTCCTCAAAACTTACTAACTGAAATTCATTCAACATAACAGCACTAGAGAGTGTTCTGGACACCCCATGAACAAACAATAATCACAAATGGATTGCAGAAATGAATTTGAGATCAGGAAAATTGGAAAGTGAAACCAAGAGATTTGTCCATTTCTCATTGCAGAGGGGGGAGTCCAGTCCATGGGAGGGAACCTAGGACAGCAGCAGGCAGGTCATGTATGCAGGAGACCTTCAGAGATGGGTGCTTGGGGCAATTATCACTTTGCCAAGGTAGGAGAGGTGGTGTCCACTGGAAGAATGTTGTGAAAGGACAAGCAGCATTTGTGCAGGGCATTGTGGCATCAGGTCAGTATACATTTGAGAGTTCGTTCCTTAAAGATGCATAAGACTAGGCAGTAAAGTTCTGGCAAACAAAAAACCTTTCTCCTGACTATACATTGCAGGTAAAAAGGCACCTAGTTCAGTCTCCCCCACCCCTCCCAAAAAAGAAGATCCAAAAATATGTAGGAAGAATGCTGCATTAATTGGATTTCTGCCACTTAAAGGGAGGGAAAAAATGGGGGTGGGGATAGAGATGGCAACCTTCCTTGTGAAATGCAGGCCATGTTGATTGGGCTGCCTTGCCTTTCTGTGCAAAATGTTCTCCCTCCCTCCATGACTGACAATTTTTTGGTATAAACTAGATGCAGGGTGTGGTAATGCTCAGAAACATCAGCAAAGTTTTGAAGTGCTCAGCCTTGCCCTTTAGCCCTGCATATTACAACACAAGATGACTGGCACAGAGCTGTTTGCCTTATAACATATCTGGCATCTCTTAAAGATTTGTATCTAATATATAATGTTTCATAAAAAGAGATGGACAAATCCATGCTGTGCCGTTACTGGCTCTGCTGCTTTGCCTTCATCAGCAACCTAAAATTCATGGCGTGCAGAGCTAACGACAGAGACAGTTCCACTTGTTTAATTTCTCCTACCAGGCTGCTGTGAAAGACAAAGGAACGGGATCAATAAAAATGGCAACCCTGCTGTAAGCCAGTGGCGTAGCGTGGGTTGTCAGCACCCGGGGCAAGGCAAAGTAATTTGCGCCCCCTAACCCGTGGATTTGCGCCCCCTAACCTGTGGATTTGCCCTAACCCCAGATGTTGCACCCAGTGCGCCCGGCCCCCCCTGCACCCCCCACGCTACGCCACTGCTGTAAGCTGCAAGTCTTTTCTCATTCAAAAATTGAAAAGTGGATGCAGTCAACTGGAGGTGAAGAAAAACACTCTGCACAAGTCTAGTTGGCACTTTATTTTTATTACTTTATAAGCCCCAGAGCTGCACTGTGAGAATGAAACCAGATTCAAGGTTCACACCCTGCAAATACCTCAGTCAGGAGGACCAAGGTCTGTTCACCTGTTGAGCAAGATGGCTAGCTGCCCAGAACGTTTCAGCTACACCACACCACTAACCTGTCCTGTCCTGTCCTTCCAGTTTAGCTCAAAGCCCTCATAGTTTTGCTTGTTCCAGCAAATCCTTGGTAGTGCCAAAGCCACTCCGGAAATAAGCCATGGGGCACATTACAAAATACATACTTCAACTGTAGAAAGGCAAGACAGTTTCTGTCTGAAAAAAGAGTGGCATCGGGTGAAAAGCATTTCATTCTTGGCTACTACCACAATCTGGGTTCAGTCCCTAGAAAGATCTTCAAGCCTGTAACCTTTGAGTGTTGGAGTGATGGAGCTCCCTGAGGCGAACCTGCCCTGTGTCCCCTAAGCTAGTCTTCTCCCCTCAGGTGTGGTGCTGGTTCTGTCATCAATGCTGAAGTAAGATTCAGCTTGTCAGTCTGTGAGAAATGGGCAGGAGGCACCATATCAGCCTTTGCCTCAGAGAGCAAAATGTCTTGGCCTGACCCTACCATTCATGCAAGGGACAAAGCAGGACTTTCCTCACACGGTTGGGGTGTGGCAATACCCCAAATGGCAAAAGAATACATAAAGTTA